GTACTGATGGCTTCCCAGACTGGCTCAGAGGCTTGTTCGCTCCTTTGTGGTGCACATGGAAGTCAGCTTGTAGTCCCAGGTAGGATTGCTGTTAGCCTGTGAATTCTTTACGCTTTTTAGAAATGGAGATCAGTACGTTAGAGGCAAAGGCTGTGATGGATGCTTAGTTGGAGATTTTGGAGGAACAGCAGGGATGCTGCAGGCTTTTTACAATTTAGACTTTTTCTACTCAGTGTAGAAGAACTACCTGTGTTAGAATGTGATACAGATTTTTAAAAATTGTATCTGTATACTCCTCCTGGCCTCAGATTCTCTCCCCTCTCATTTAAAGATTTATTTACTTTTATTTGAAAGGCAGATTTTACAGAGAAAACAGATCTTCATTCTGCTGCTTCACTCCCTAAAGATAGCTACAACAGCCAGAGCCGAACTGATCTGAAAATGGGAACCAGGAGCTTCTGATTCTCCCACGTGGGTGCAGGGTCTCAAGGACTTGGAGCCATCCTGCAATGCTTTCCTAGGCCTCAAGCAGATAGCTGGATCAGAAGTGGAGCAGCCGGGACTTGAACTGGTGCCCATATGGGATATCTATTCTGTATGGCAGAGTGCCACTGTGAGATGAGTTGTTTGTTGATGATCTCAGGACTACTTCTATAGAACTAACCTTAGATAATCAAGTTAAATTTTGGGACATAGGTCATATTCATAATGGATGGTGTTTGGGGAAAACAGATGGATTGTTACAAGTTGATTGTTTTAACAGTTTACTTATTTGGAAGGCAGAGTTATGGGGAGAAAGAGGACAGGACAGTCAGAGAAGGTCGACAGTGGCCAGAGCTGGGCCTGTACACAGCCAGGAGCCTCTTCCGGGTCTCATGCATGGATATGTGGGTTCGAGCACTTGGGCCATTGTCTGCTTTCTTAGAAATAGCAGGAAACTGGATCAGAAGTGGGGCAGCTGAGACTCAAACTAGCACCCATGTGGGATGCTAGGTCTACAGTATACTGGTCCATTAGAAGTTTTGATAGTTTTGATGGTGACAACACAAATAGACTGAGAATCGAATCGTTGGCCACAGAATGAAATTGGTTACCAATTGTGAAGGACAGTTCAAGAATGGCCAAAATGGGAAAGGCTAGGAACTATTCAGGGACCTGGAAGGAACTGAGTACTTGGTGCTAATAGGTAAAGAAATGTTGAATTTTGGGGGCATTGTAAGTATAGTTATATTTTGCAGAACTTTGCATTTACAGGTATGTATCTGAGTAAAAGTTATGACTTCTGGAATTTGCATCAAAATAATTGAAGGGAAAGTAAGTTGTTAATTTGAACATTAAGAAGTTAAAATAGGGCCTGGCATGGTAGCCTAATGGTTAAAGTTGCACCTTGCACTCACTGGGATCCCATAGGGCACCAGTTCTAATCCCAGCAGCCCTGCTTCCTTCCCATCCAGCTTCCTGCTTATGGCCTGGAAAAGCAGTTGAGGACGGCCCAAAGCCTTGGGACCCTGAACCTGCATAAGGGCACCCAGAGGAGGCTCCTGACTGGCTTCAGATCAGCTCCAGCTGTTGTGACCAATTGGGTTGTGAATCAGTGGATCAAAGATCGCTGTCTACTATCTGTCTGATTTTGCAATAATAATAAATACTTGAAAAAAGTAAGTTTAAAATAAGAGTAACAGCTTTTTCATAAATATTTATTTATTTACTTATTTTTAAGATCTATTAATTTATTGGAAAGTCAGATATACAGAGAGGAGGAGAGACAGAGAGGAAGATCTTCTGTCCGATGATTCACTCCCAAAGTGAGCGCAACGGCCAGTGCTGTGCCGATCTGAACCCAGGAGCTCTACTGGGTCTCCCACGCCGGTGCAGGGTCCCAAGGCTTTGGGCTGTCCTCGACTGCTTTCCTAGGCCACAGGCAGGGAGCTGGATGGGAAATGGAGCTGCCGGGATTAGAACCGGCGCTCATAATGTGATCCTGGCGCTTTCAAGGGGAGGGCTTTAGCCGCTAGGCCACGCTGCAGGGCCCAAAGATTTATTATTTTTTATTACAAAGTCAGATATACAGAGAGGAGGACAGAGGGGAAGATCTTCCATCCGATGATTCACTCCCCCTCTGATGATTCACTGGCATGGCATAGCAGGCAAAAGCCTGCCAGACTGGTATCCCATTTGTGCACCAGTTCACGTCCCAGGTGTTCTTCCAATCCAGCACCTTGCTCAAGGACTGAGATAATATTGGCTGATACATCTCAATATGGTTCCCAATTAATATGTATGGGAAAGTAGAAGATGGGGCATTACACTATAGGGTAGACCAATGAGCTGCTTTTGGCCACCTCTGGCACTCTAGCCCCAGTATCTCCACTGCTCCTCATCCCGCCCCTCTGGCACTATGTCTCCAGCGTCTCCACTCCTCCTCTCCCTGCCCCTCTGGCCTTAGACCTCCAGCGTCTCCACTCCTCCTCACCCGGCCCCTATAGCACACCACCTCCAGCGTCTCTACTGCTCACCCTGCCCCTCTGGCACTAGACCTCCAGCGTCTCCACTCCTCCTCACCCGGCCACTCTGGCACTATGTGTCCAGCGTCTCCACTCCTCTCCCTGCCCCTCTGGCCTTAGACCTCCAGCGTCTCCACTCCTCCTCACCCGGCCCCTCTGGCACTAGACCTCCACCCTCTCCACTCCTCCTCACCCGGCCACTCTGGCACTAGACCTCCAGCGTCTCCACTCCTCCTCACCCGGCCCCTCTGGCACTAGACCTCCACCCTCTCCACTCCTCCTCACCCGGCCCCTCTGGCACTAGACCTCCACCCTCTCCACTCCTCCTCACCCGGCCACTCTGGCACTAGACCTCCAGCGTCTCCACTCCTCCTCACCCGGCCCCTCTGGCACTAGACCTCCACCCTCTCCACCCCTCCTCACCCGGCCCCTCTGGCACTAGACCTCCACCCTCTCCACTCCTCACCCGGCCCTTCTGGCCCTAGACCTCCAGCGTCTCCACTCCTCCTCACCCGGCCCCTCTGGCCCTAGACCACCAGCGTCTCTACTCCTCCTCACCCTGCCCCTCTGGCCTTAGACTTCAGTGGTCGCCACTCTTTAGCTTTGAGAGTGTGCTTTTAAAATTATTTACTTTTATTTGAGAAGCAGAAAGATCTTTCGTGTGCTGGTTCACACCCCAAGTAACTGTACAGCTGGAACTGTTCTGATTCCAAGCCTGGAACCAGGAACAACTTGGGCCTACCATGTGGGTGCAGTGTCCCAAGGCTTTGGGTCACTCTATTGCTTTCCCAGGGCACAAGCAAGGAGTTGGATGGGATGTGGAGCTGCTGGGACACGAACTGGTGCCTTTATGGGATGTTGATACATGTAAGGTGGGGACTTTACTCACTGGTCTATTGCATTGGGTACCAAGTAAGTCAATCTTAAAAAAAAAATATTTGAGACACTTATATCTGAAGGGCAGATACATCTTCTATCTGCTGATTGACTTCTTAAGTGACAGGTGAGGCCTGGAACCTGGTACACTGATCTCTTTTTTTTAAAAGAATATTTTTTATTGGAAAGCCAGATATAGATGAGACAGAAGATGTTCTGTCCGATGATTCACTCCCAAAGTGACTGCCACAGGCAGAGCTGCGCAGATCTGAAACATGGAGCCCGGAACTCCCCCAGGTCTCTCATGTGGGAGCAGGGTCCCAAGGCTTTGGTTTGTTTCTGACCGCCTTCCCAGGCCACAAGGAACCCCAGCACATTCAAGGTGAGGATTTTAGCCACTAGGCCATGGCACTAGGCCCTTTAGCCAATTCTACATTAGTGGCAGGAACCCAGCTGTTTGACCCCTCAGATTGTGCATTAACTGGAAATGATCAAAAACAGTAGGACCTGGTGCAGTAGCCTGGTGCCTAGTTCTCACTTTGTATGTGCTGGGCTCCCAGAGGCCCCTGGCTCCTGGCTTTGGATCAGGCTAGCTGCGACCATTGTGTCCGCTTGAGGAGTTTATCATTGGATGGAAGGTCTGGTGGGATTCAAACTAAGCACTCCCAGAAAGGGATATGAACATGCTAAGCCGCAACTTGAGTGTTAGTTGTCCCCAGTGATGACAGATTAGATGTTAAGGTTTACGTGCCTGGTATTACATTAGGTATTGGGCTCATGGAGAAAGCGTAGGCGTCTAAGAAAACAGGAAATGAGAGGCTCAAGGGGCTATGTAATGACAGTTCACAGCCTTATATAATGTGCGCCAAGTAGAAACCTGGGGTAAAGGGTGCAAGGTAAGTTGGCAGAGGGAAGCAGGTTCACTCCTGTTTATATGCGCTGGTAAGACAGTAACTGCAAAGACTACTTAATAGTTCTTTTCCATTCCAAAAAAACCTTTATTTTGCTAAGGGAGTGTTTGGTTCTCTTCCCAGTGTCAATTTATCAACTTTTCAACTAGAGTACTCCTGGAGGGCTTGTGGTTAGTCTGCAGGGGGTAAGCAGAAATGCCAACTACCTCCCAAAATATCAGAAAAAACAATCCTGCACCATGAATTATGACCTCATTAATTTTCAGAATTATCATTTATATAAATTAATTTAAAAATTACTTTAGGGCCTGCTGTGGTAGAGTAGTGGCAAATCTTCCCCCTGCACCTGGGTGCTGGTTCATATCCTGGCGGCCAGGCTTCCCTGCTTGTGGCCTGGGAAGTGTCAAGGACAACCCAAAGCCTTGGGAACCTGCACCTGTGTGGGAGACCCAGGAGAAACTCATGGCTCCCTTAAGTTTGATGGTCTAAACCCATCTTCTTTAGATGTCATGTCTGTCACTTTCCATTTTACCGGAGAACAGCAGCCCTGGTTTGCACGTTAGTGCTTCCAGATTTCAAGTCTACAAAAACAAAAAGCTCATAAGCAGTTTTGCCCATGTTGATAGCTAGTATTAGAAAACCCTAAATTTCCTTCATCTTATTCCTGAAGCTTTATCAAAGAATTTCAACTCTCAAAAACAAAGTAATACCATGTTTCATATTTATTAAAAAAAAAAAAAAAATCAGTGGATCTAAAAGATCAATTTTTAGGGATGGAGGTGCTAACACAGACCCATGGTAGGTAGAAAAGTATACCTTAAGCGAAGTTAGGGAGCCTCATCACTACCTTGTTTCAAATGCATACCTAACATAAACAGCAGACTGCCATTGTAGCTTCTTCTGTCTCACCCATTTACAATCATGGCACAGCCACTGGCTTCCTTAGTCAGCCCCAAGTTACTCCATTTACAGAGGCCAGCACAGCAGTACTCATAACTTCAAAGATCTCATCTCCAGAAGGCTTGTTCTAGATCTCTGGCTCTGTTGTGAGAGGTTTCACCCTTTGAACACACAGGACAATATTAAATCTTCATACTGATCAACAAACTGTACTGCTTCTTCTAGTGCATGCAGCTAAGTAACAATGGGCTAGGGACAAAACATTGTGAATGCTGTACTGCTGCAATTATCACCATTAAATGATCATTCGCTAACAGTCACTGAATTTATATATTAAGAAATTATATATAGGATACTGCAAAAACACAGTAAAAAGACTGAAGTTTGCTCATTTCTGCTCAGGAAGCCCCTTTACTCCCAAGCTTCATTGTATGCTGTCCTTTGGGCTTCAAAAATTTATGGTTACTACTGCTTCTCCTCCTTTTGATCTTCCTTTTGATCTCCAGTGCCAGAACTCCCAGAGCCTTCTCGCTCGGACGCCATCTGTTGAGAAAATATTTGAAAACCACTTATACTTAGCATCAGGGATAACAGTTTGCTCTGTGCCAAACTATGAAACTATGAGTTTTTGTGACTCATTTTCTGACACTCCCCAAATCCTGAACTAGTCAAGAAGGCAAGGGGGGATATTTCCAATGTCAATATACATTCTTAGTTCTACACAGTTATATAACCCAAAAGTGACAATAATCAGGAAAAACTATGCCAAGCCGGTTAGGACCCAAGCAGCCCGTGTACCTTTTTGTATGCCATTTCAAAGAGCTTCAGTGATGCCTGCTGAAGGGAAGACGCCGCCTGCCTAATGTTTTCTCCTGTTTCGCTGTCTTTTCGAGCCAGAAGCTCCCTCATTTTGGAAATCTCTTCTTTTAGCTTGTTGCACTTAAGAACAAAAAATAAAAATGATTACTTTTCCAGCTCTCCTTTGACATCAAATGTAGCAGTAATGTTGAGAAACAAAACAGAAAAAAACCAAAATCCCAATCAAGACTTTTTAATTTCACTGACATTGTCAGTGCTTCCTCCATCACATTTTGAGATTGAATTTACCTCATCTGTTGGCAACTGATCTTTGAATTCTTCCATCTTGGTTTCTGTATCATGAATGATTCCCTCAGCCATGTTAACTGCTTCAACCCGTTCCTTAGAAAAATGAAAAAGTTCAATCAACCAAAATCTGCTGAATGAATACATTGAGCCAGACAAGCTACCTGCTGAATGAAGAGTAGAAATACAGTACAAGGTAGAAATAATTACTGTCTGTAGTAATTTGGAATAGTCTGAAGAGTGGCAGCCAGTAACAACATGAGGAGCCATTCTATAAGTTTTATAGGCAAAGCATAAGAGAAACTAAACTGAGGATAGCCCAGCACCATGAGCAGACTTCCTTTTAATGTACAAACATTGTTAAAATTAAAAACTGAGACTAACTATATAAAGTAGTCACCTTCTTTCGACGGTCTTCCTCAGCATACTTCTCTGCATTTTTAACCATATTTTCAATGTCATCTTTGCTTAATCCACCTGAAGACTGGATTACAACTGCAATGAAAAGAAGGCATCTCATCAATTCCCAGGTAAAAGTTCATTTTCAAAACTACCTCAAGAATACTCATAGCTGAACTTGATGCAATATATGAGGAGTAAAACCAGGCAGGTGTTGCGGCAAAGCAGATAAAGCTATCACCTGCAATGCCAACATTTCCTTATGGTCACTGGTTCATGTCCTGGTTATTCTACTTGGTTCCACTCTCTGCTGATGGAAAAGATGTAGTGGATGGCACCAAGTGTTTGGGCCCCTGCCAACCATGTGGGAGTTATAGATGGAGTGTCTGGCTCTGGTTTGGTCCATTCCTGGACAGTGCAGCCAGCTAAGGAGTGAATGAGCAGATAGAATATTGTTTCCCCTTTTATCTTCACTAGCTTTGTCAAATGAACAAGTCTTTAAAGAAAAAAGTAATATAGTATCAAAAAAAATCTAATCTGTTGTCTTTTGAAATGCTATTATAATTATGAAAAGGACTCAAAGGATTGACTCATTATGCATCTCCTCAGTCTGTGTGAAGGCACTGTGCAATGGCGCAGTGGTTAAGGTCCTCGCCTTGCACGCCCGGGATCCCATATGGGCGCCGGTTCTATCCCGGCAGCCCCGCTTCCCTTCCAGCTCCCTGCCTGTGGCCTGGGAAAGCAGTCGAGGACGGCCCAAAGCTTTGGGAACCTGCACCCATGTGGGAGACCCAGAAGAGGCTCCTGGCTTCGGGTTGGCTCAGCTGCGCCGTTGCGGCCGCCTGAGGAATGAATCATTGGACGCAAGATCTTCCTCTCTGGACATCCTCCTTTCCAATAAAAAAAAAAAATAAATCTTAAAAAAAAAAAAAAACTTACTCTGCTGCTCTCGTCCTGTGCCCTTATCTTTGGCAGACACATGCACAATCCCATTGGCATCAATGTCAAATGTAACTTCAATTTGAGGGACTCCTCGAGGTGCTGGGGGAATTCCAATCTAAAATATTAAATACCCAGAATGAGCTCATCACATAAGAGTCCAATATTTTTATATCCAAATCTAAATAGGTTCTCTAGCCAACAGATTCTTGGTTCCTCAGAACATATTATGATAGTATGTTAAGTGAGGGTAGCAGTTTAATTGCATTCTGTAATCTTCAGATTACAGGTCAACTCTAGCAAGTTAACCACAATGGCTGTATTAGACCAGTGAGGGTGAATGATAGCAAACTTCTCTGTTCATGCTACAAAATAAGCAGTGCTCATCAGAAATCAGTTAACAGTAGCACAACTAAGAACTGAAGCTGTAGGTATCTAACTGCAGCATCTGACTGCATACCCTCTCAGAATATGTAGCCTATCTTTGTGTCAGCAGTCTGCATTACTTTCAGGATTAATCAAGCATTACATGTGAGAAAACTGAGGAACAAATGGCTGGCACAACTGCTCAGTAGCTTGTCTTCCACCAGCCAGCAGCAGCATCCTACACGTGCAACTGTCCTTATCCCAACTGCTCCATTTCACTTCCGGCTCCCTGCTTGTGGCCTGAGAAAGCAACAGAGGATGGCCCAAAGCCTTGGCACCCTAGCACCCACGTGGCGGATCCAGAAGAGGCTTCTGGTTCCTGGTTTCAGATGAGCTCAGCTACAACCTTTGTGGCCATTTGGAGAGTGAACCAGGAGAAGCAAGATCTTTCTGTTAACCTGCCTTTCCAGTAAAAAATAAATGATCTTAAAAAATAAATAAACCGAGCAGCACGATTCAGGATTCATTAAGTACTTACCAAAGTGAACTGTCCAAGAAGTTTGTTGTCTGCAGCCATCTCTCTCTCCCCCTGACATACTTTAATCTCCACTTGAGTCTGTCCATCAGCAGCAGTGGAAAACACCTAGGAGAAGGAAAACTTCCTGGGTCGGCACTCTGATTAAACTATTTCCTCATTCAGAAGCAAGTGAAGCAAATTTACATACCAAAGTTGGAAGAATATATGTTCAGAACCAAGGCTTGTATTTACAGGGAATAAAAGTAGGATTACTAAGTACAAACATGTAGCTAATGTTTCAAGTAAGCAAGCATATCCTACAAAGATGTAGGATTAACAGAGAAAAGTTCAAAATAAGGAACTACATATGTTGAACCATGTTCTCAAGTACACAGCTGATCCGTCATGTGCTCAGTCACAGAAGTCATCACACACTTCTTCAGAATGATGTGTTGACAAGTACATCATTGCACAGATACAGCAGTACGGTGCTTAAGAAAAATAGATGTTGGGCCCAGAGGCTAAAGTCCTCGCCTTCATTATGCTGGGATCCCACATGGGCGCTAGTTCTAATCCCGGCAGCCCTGCTTCCCATCCAGCTCCCTGCTTGTGGCCTGGGAAAGCAGTTGAGGATGGCCCAAAGCCTTGGGACCCTACACCCGTGTGGGAGACCCAGAGGAAGTTCCTGGCTCCTGGCTTCGGACTGGCACAGCACCGGCTGTTGCACTCACTTGGGGAGTGAACCATCGGATGGAAGATCTTCCTCTCTGTATATCTGACTTTGTAATGAAAATAAAGCAGTGGCAGAAGGCCCTTAGCTTTGCGCCCTTGCACCTAAGTGAGAGACCAAGAATAAGCTCCTACTTCTAGCTTCAGACTGGACTGTGTGGGCATCTCAGGAGTGAACCAGCAGATAGAAGATCTTTTTCCTTCTCTCTGCAAAGCTCCCTTTCAAATCTAACTAAATCTTAAAAAAAAAAAAAAAGTGAAAGCAGGGTTAATGGGGGCTGGAGCATCACAGTGTATTAAGCAACAGTGGTTTCCCCTTATGGGCACTAACAGGAGTCCTGGCTGCACCTCTTCCCATCTAGGTGCTTTCATGAAACCAATGAAAGATTGCCCAAGTGCCTGGGCTGTGCAGTCACGTGGACACCAGAAAGCAGCTCCTGCCTTTGGACTGGCCCAACTCTGATCCATAGAGCTCTATAGAGTAAACCAGAAAATACATTTGTTTCTGCAACTCCCAACAAATAAATACATCTTATTTGTAAAATAAGATATGCCATGACCCTGTGCCGCCCCCTATGCTTTTCTACTTCTCAGCAAGCCCTCTGAGGTCTCCTGAGCAGCAGAGCCTTCAAGGCTGCCAGATTTGCCCTGAGCCCATGCTGCAGCCAGTGGGACAAGTCCTGGCCCTGGGTTTAGGGCAGGGTCCTGAGTTTTAGCCCAGACTTACATATCTTTATGTTCACTGCACATATTTATATTCATAAGTGTTAATTCTACTCAATATGCCAGCTCACATAGTTGGGGTCACTGCCACCCATGAGGCAATCCTGGATTCTAGGTTTGCTCTAGTCCACCTATTGGGGCTATTTGGCAAGTGAATGTGCCCCATTACAAGATAGGTACGGGTAGCTCTTACCTGGCTCTTTTTGGTTGGAATTGTGGTGTTCCTGTTAATAAGTTTGGTGAAGACACCTCCCAGAGTCTCAATGCCCAGAGACAGAGGCGTGACATCGAGGAGCAGCACATCTGTGACATCACCAGCCAACACACCTCCCTGAATGGCAGCTCCAATAGCCACAGCCTCATCAGGATTGACAGCTTTACTTGGGGCTCGGCCAAAAAGATCTTGCACGGTCTGCTGAACCTGGGCATCAGGAAGAAAGTACTGTCATCCAACATGGCGAGAAGTGCAGGAGAGGGACAGCACACACCTATCTTAAAGAACACAGCAGAATCTCAAGTTACTCTAATTCTGAGGCAAAAATGTTTGACTTATTGATTCACAGCCAAGTTCTTATTAAAGAACCTACAAAACTTATAATTTGAAAAGGTATAGGGGTCCCGGCGCGGTAGGTTAGAGGCTAAAGTCCTCGCCTTGCATGTGCCAGGATACCATATGGGTTCTGGTTCTAATCCTGGCAGCCTTCTTCCCATCCAGCTCCCTGCCTGTGGCCTGGGAAAGCAGCTGAGGATGGCCCAAAGCCTTGGGACCCTGCACCCGCGTGGGAGATCTGGAAGAAGCTCCTGGCTTCAGATCAGCTCAGCTCTGGCCACTGTGGCCACTCTGGGAGTGAACCCGTAGAAGAACTTTCTCTGTCTCTCCTTTCTGTATATTTTATTTGACTTTCTAATTAAATAAACATCAACAAACAAACAAAAAAACATGGCCGCGGGCCTGCTGTTGCTAATGACATGGTTTTCCCTACTGTTTAACATGAGGGTTAAGAAAAGATATATTTAAGTAGTACCTGGAATAATTTAACAAAAATGTGCTAACCCAGAATCTTTGATATGTTTATTTCCCATGCCTAGTTAATTCAAAGGAAAAGTAATGTCTCAACCACAGGCTTGTGCTCAGTCATTAGTTTTCCACACATCTCACGAGTTCAGAATGATGTGTTGATAACTAAAATGCATCACTGCACATACCATTGTTGAGGAGATGCTAAGAGAAACCTCTGTCACTGCTGACATGGTTACATGTCTAACAGATCCTCAGGACTAACAGTGCATGGAGTATTAACACACCTCCAATTAGGAGTCGGCCTCTCCTCATCCTGTACATCAACCAAGCAAGGCAAGGTAGAAACGTCAGTCACTCACGGCCCTGATGAAGTCACCTGTTCCAGCAGGGATAGATTATTTGCTGATCCTCTTTCCTTTTTACATTAAAAATTCCTTGGATCCATACCTTGGGCATCCTAGTCATTCCACCAACAAGAATCACTTCTCCTATGTCACTCTTGCTAACTTCTGCATCTTGCATAGCTTTCTGGCATGGAGCCATAGTCCTCTTGATGAGATCAGCAACAATGCCCTCAAACTGAGCCCGGGTCAATTTCATATTTAAATGTTTGGGTCCAGAAGCATCCATGGTAAGATACGGCAAGTTGATGTCAGTCTGAAAAGGTAATGTTTCATCAGGTCAGTGCGAGACAAAATGGTTATTATTAAAGAACTTGAAAAGACAAACAAAAATGTAAAACCTGATGTATCTGAATTGCCTCTAGACAGCGATGCTGCAAGATGACACAAATACTACAGGAAGTACTTTATACTGTGTCGGAAGGCAGCAGATGAGGCCCAAGTACTTGGTTGCTGCCACTTACGTGGGAGCCCAGGATGAAATTCCTGTCTTGTAGTTGCAACCTGGCCTGGCACCACCCATTTTAGGCATTTGGAAAAGTGAGAATAAATCTTAGTTTCTGCTGCCAGTCTGCCTTTCAAATTAAACAATTTAAGGGGTTTACACTCACTAGCTTTCAGAAAATCTAAATAAAAGTATCTTCTCAAGGTCAACTTCATGTCTCAGAAATTACCTGAGTTACAGTGAACTAGCCTCTACTCAAACCACACTGTGAACTCCACAGGGGTAATACATCCCCTCTGCTAGGATGGCCAACGTTGGAACACAATTCAAATGCCTATCAGTAATGTATATCCTTGAAATTAAACCGATCTGTTCCAACATTTCCTTTCATCAAATTCCCAAAATTACATGGCAGTGCCATATATTTTACCTCAACCACTCCAGGTTTTAGTGAAGGTTTATTAATGCAACCCACTTCATATACTTCTGTCCTGTGGCAGACTAAGATAGTGGCAGCTCTGCTCTTCTGCTGCCATCCCAAAATGAAGAATGTAACACATTTAAAAAAATAATAAAGGCTGGAATTTTCCCACATCGCACCTGCACAGATGAGGAAAGCTCACACTTGGCCTTCTCAGCAGCTTCTCGCACCCTTTGCAGTGCCATGTTGTCTTTGGTCAAATCAACTCCTGTCTATGAAGTAAAATATACTAGAATTAGTTAAGTCATGAGTTCCATTTGCAGCAATATCGCACATTACAGAAGATGATGTTAACTGTTCTTAAATGTGCTGCACATGAGTTAGTCGTAGCACAACAGGTTATGCTGTATCTTGGGACCCCACATCCCACTGCAGAGCACTGACTGGAGTCTATGATCCAGCTTTCAGCAAAAGCATTATTGGTGGCAGCAACGATGGATGGCTCAAGTGCTGTGGCCCTACTTCCTACAAGTGAGACTTGGACTAAAATCCAGATCCTGGCTTCAACCTAACCCAGTCCCAGTTCTTACAGGCATTTAGGATTGAGCCACTAAATGAAGATCTCCGTCTCTTTCTCAAACAAGGAAACTGATGGCTGGAAGCAAACTTGAACTGATGCTTAGTTCTTTCTGGCCTCAGGACTTCAGTTCAAAAAGGGTTCCCCAAAGTTTCAAAATGGCATACTGATTTCAATATATATTTATGTTTCCCATTTGCTCAATAGTTCAGTCCACCCATGAATCCAAAACTCAATTATTTCAGTACTGTAACTAAATGAAAAATTGAAATGGCAAAGAGGAATAATAAATTCTCAATGTCTACATATTAATCATAATACCCAACCTCTCTCTTGAACTCCTTCACAATGTGTCGTAGCAAAGCCTGGTCAAAGTCTTCACCACCTAAGAAGGTGTCCCCATTGGTGGATTTCACTTCAAATACTCCTTTCTGAATCTCCAGGATGGAAATATCAAATGTCCCACCACCTAAATCATATACAGCAATGCTAGGGGGAAAAAAACATTTTAAGGAACAAAACTCATTACAAGAACAGAAATTTCAACAATCAAATGAAGATAAGCTTAGCTGCTTTGCTAAAGTATGACAACTTGTTAGCATGTTGCTTAACAAGTAACATGTAAAATGCATAGAACTGGGGCCCGGTGCGGTGGCGCAAGCGGTTAAGTCCTCGCCTTGCATGCCCGGGATCCCATATGGGCGCCGGTTCTGTCCCGGCAGCCCCGCTTCCCTTCCAGCTCCCTGCCTGTGGCCCAGGAAAGCAGTCGAGGACGGCCCAAAGCTTTGGGACCCTGCACCCGCGTGGGAGACCTGGAAGAGGCTCCTGGCTTCGGATCGGCATAGCATCAACCGTTGCGCTCACTTGGGGAGTGAATCATCTGACGGAAGATCTTCCTCTCTGTCTCTCCTCCTCTCTGTATATCTGCCTTTCCAACAAAAATAAATAAATCTTTAAAAAAGAAAAAAAAAAAGGGATTTATTCATTTGAAAGCCAAGGTTAGAGACATGGAAAGAGATCTTCCTGTCTGCTGGTTCAGTCCTTAATTAGACGCAAAGGCTGGGAAAGGCCAGGAGCTTCTTTTGGGTCTCCCACATGGCAGGAGGGGCCCAAAGATCTTTGCTGTCCTCCTCTGCTTTCCCAGGGAGCTGTATCTGAGGTGGAACAGTCAGAACTTGATACAATAGGCAGCTTTACTTGCTATGTTGCAGTGTTAATCCCTATAACTTTGCTTTTTCTAATGTTTTCTAAAATATTTTTGTTTCACAAACAATAAAAAATCCCTTGCATGTCATTCACGTAAAAAAAAAAAAGAAATGAAGGTAATCACATTTATGGACGAATAACGGTCAGCACCCACACCAAGAAAACGACACCACCCACAGGGAAACAAAGGAACCGTCTTGACTAAAATACAGACTGTTAGTCATAATGATGTGTCCACATAGGGAAAAAAAGCCATGGGTCTAGGATTTGTTTTATATACCCCAAAGGAATTTAACTGCAGACTTACATTTTATCTTCCGATTTGTCTAGACCATAAGCCAGAGCAGCAGCTGTGGGTTCATTAATCACCCGAAGCACATTTAGTCCAGATATCTGGCCAGCATCCTTAGTAGCCTAGAGAAAACCATCGAAAAAAAAAAAATTTTTTTTCTCACCTTTGTGTTCTAGGTACCATTAATTTTTGTGAATGAAAACACTACTGAGGAGACTGGCATTTCTTGTGGGATTCCTTCCGAGTCCCAGCTGCTCCTCACTGTTCCAGCTGGGGACGCAGCAGCAGATCACCAGTCTCCCTGGCCTCCCCACACCCACTTAGGAGACCCAGATGGAATTTTGAATCCCTGGCTTTGGCCTGGCCCGGGCCTGGCCGTGGCAGTCATTTGGGGGAGTGAGCCAGAATACAGAGGATCCTTCGGTGACTGCCTTTCAAATGAACAGACCTGAACAAAAGAACCAACTGGTCTCACCTGTCTCTGCGAGTCATTGAAATAAGCGGGGACTGTGATTACAGCATTCTTTGCCGCGTGTCCCAAGTAATTTTCTAGGAGAGCCAAGAACAAGTTTCAATCAACAAGTTACCACTGTAGCTCAATAACCTGTAGGATCATCTTTTAGAGCTACATTTAACACTTAGTTTTTGGCAAGCAATCAAACACGAAAAACAAACAACAACAAAACCACCAAGGTGGGGGTGGGAGGTGGCTATTCTTTGGTCTGCAAACACCAGGATCCCATATAGGCCCTGGTTCTTGTCCTGGCAGCTCCCCTTCTCATCCAACTCCCTGCTTGTAGCCTGCAAAAGCAGAAGATGGCTCAAAACCTTGGGACCCTGCACCCCCTGGCACACCTGGAGGAAGCTCCTGGCTTCAGATCAGTTCAGCTCCAGGTGTGGTAACCATCTGGGGAGTGAACCAGTGGATGGAAGATCCTTTCTTTGCCTCTCCTCTCTCCTGGCTTTCAAAAAAAAAACCAAAAGCAAGCCAAACCAAAGCCCCACTAACCGCCCCAGCAGCCAGCTGCCATTAGCAAAATCTGAACGTAAATTCAATGGGCAAATTATGAAGAACAATTTCAGAAACCATTATATACAGCACCTTTAAACCTGTTCCAAGAATGTTACAATATATTAATGTTATACATGGAGAAAACATTAAATATAGATAATGAAAATCAGTTTGCTAAAAATTCTTTAAATTCATTCCACACTGATACAATAAATGAAGTAAAGTTGCGTTTATATCAAGGAATTATTGATATTAATTTTCTGTACAATGCTGCATCATTTTAAAATGGCCAATTTTGCTCTTTCCCCATCAGACTTTGTGATTTCAGAACAAGCTTTCTAGATCCAAGCTCAATCCACTTACCTGCAGTTTCTTTCATCTTCATTAACACAAATGCTCCTATCTGACTCGGAGAATAGAGTTTTCCATGAGCCTCAACCCAGGCATCACCATTGGAGGCACGGACGATTTTAAAAGGGACATTTTTACTAAAAGACATAAAAAGTTGCATGAGGAAATATATATATATTTAAACTTATTCATTTTCACGGGAAAGGCGGACATGCAGAGAGGAAGATTCTCCATCTGATGGCCCACTCTCCAAGTGACCCCAACAGCCGCAGCTGAGCCGATCCAAAGCCAGGAGCTCCTCCGGGTCTCCCATGCGGGTGCAGGGTCCCAAGGCTTATGGGCTGTCCTCAACTGCTTTCCCAGGCCACAAGCAGGGAGCTGGATGGGAAGCAGGTCTGCTGGGAACAGAACTGGCGACCATATGGGATCCTGGTGTGCTCAAGGCAAGGACTTTAACCACTACGCCACCGTGCTGGGCCCACATTAGGAAATATACCAGTGCTATCTTCCAAGTCTGGGGAACATGCTCGAGTCCAGCTCAGCTCAGCCTTTGAGTGCAACACGGGGGGAAGCAGCAGATAATGGTTTGAGTACTTGGGTGACACAGACTCTGACTTGTTCTGAGTATTTGAGGAGTTAACCAGAAAATAAAAATTTCTGCAACTCTACCTTTCAAGTAAAATATTTTTAAAAATCTTTAAGTTGGGCCCGCTGCACGGTGGCGCAAGTGGTTAAAGTCCTCGCCTTGCACGCCCGGGATCCCGGCAGCCCCGCTTCCCTTCCAGCTCCCTGCCTGTGGCCTGGGAAAGCAGTCGAGGACGGCCCAAAGCTTTGGGAACCTGCACCCGCGTGGGAGACCCGGAAGAGGCTCCTGGCTTCGGATCAGCATAGTATCGACCCGTTGCGCTCACTTGGGGAGTGAATCATCAGACGGAAGATCTTCCTCTCTGTCTCTCCTCTCTGTATATCCGCCTTTCCAATAAAAAAATAGTAAAAATAAATCTTTTAAAAAAAAAATCTTTAAGTTATACCAGCTCCGTGGTATGGCATACTGCCTGTAGTGCTGGCATTTCATGTGAGCACTGCTTAAGCACACTTACAGTTCCATTTGTGGAAAAGTAAAACCAGTTTTTTCTAAAAAGGCTGGTGTGGCAAGAGCTGGCATTGTGGCACAGCAAGTTAAACCACTGTTTATAACACTGCAGCCTGTGTCAGAGAGCTGCTCTAAATCCTGCGTCCACTTCCTTGCTAATGGACCCTGTGAAGACAGTGGAAAAAGGCCCAAATCCCTGCGCTCCTGCTACTTATGTGGAATACTTAACCTATACCTTATCTACCTCGTGTTTAGTACCAGTGGAGGACTGCCTCACATATCTTCACAGATCACATCAACACACAGCACAGAGAATCTATGAAGGCAAAGACAAACTGACCAAGAGGAGTTACCGCTTAAGGTATGGATTTTCCTCAGGGACCCTGCACAGCCAGTTTATTCTGTGTGGCATTCACAGCTACTACTTACATGTCCTTCTGCACTTCAGGGTCATCGTAGCGTCGGCCAATGAGACGTTTGGTGGCATAGAAGGTGTTGTTTGGGTTAGTGACAGCCTGTCGTTTGGCTGGCATGCCAACAAGACGCTCACCATCTGCTGTGAAGGCCACAACTGAAGGGGTGGTTCTGGCACCTTCAGCATTCTCCAACACCTAAACCCCACAAATAGGTTTCAGGTCATCAGTGGCATTAGTGCACCAAAGTTATGACACAAAATGGTCCCAAATGATAATATACTGAACCGTTCCAATGGGCATGCTTTAGTGCTATGAGTGCTGATCCAGTAACCACTTACTATTCAAGACAGCAAATACTTACATCATTTTAAAATCTTTAGTCCTTTAGAAGAATGCAAAACAGAAACTATAGATCAGCATTTTTATACTTAGCGTTTACATCTTTAATATGATAAATTCTATTTTCAATTTCTCTTCTGATGGCTACCCATTTCAGACGTACAGGACTAACATGCCAAGAGGCATAAACTGGACTAAGGGAATCACTCACTTAGTGCCCAACTAGTGGGAATAAGTCATCCCTGGACAAATTAGCTTATTTTAGGAGAGTATATGGGTAAAGGGAACAGCAGAGAAAACCAGTATTAGAGGCTAAATTCCAGTGTCCCAGCTAATGTGAATCTTAGTGAGGAACCCAGCGGGAACACAAGCTAAACACCTAGAGCGGGGAGCAGGCAGCCTTTTCCAAGCCAGAAAGCTCCCAAGAATAAGCTTTATTTAGAATATGCAACTCCTCTTCTACCTTGCTGCACCTCCAAGCTAGGTTGATTTGACTTCCACAATTCAACTTCAATGAAATGAAAACAGTGCAACAATTCCAACTTGTTCTTAATGACAAATCAGTAGTCATATCCTCATGCCACATTAAAACCCCAGCCTGGGAAGCCAAGTACATCCAATTACCAGCATCACCAAGGTGCACTTTACAAAGAAAATCTAAGGCATTTGCATAAAGCAGGTTCCCAAAGGGCCCAGACTCCTGGATGCAGGGCAGGGACAGGACAGCCCCCAAGTTATCCGCAGACCCCATTTATGCTCACCTTCGCTTGTTTACCCTCCATGACTGCCACACAGGAGTTTGTAGTGCCCAAATCAATTCCAACAACTGCTCCCTTAATTGCTTCTGATCTGCAAGACATTTAAAACAATGACATGGTTATCATGTCCTTAACAATAATATCTGAAATGTCAGGAATACATGAAAGTATTTGAGCGAACCAGGGAACATTAAATAACATATACAACCAAACACAGATTAGCAATTACAGAAATAAACTGTTCATCACAAAGTGGAGTCCACTGCTCTCTCAAAGTAAATGAAAGTACTTACGCATAATCCCGCCTTGAAACAATTCTGAAGGCCTCATGACTAAAGCCATTCCAGCCATCCTGAAAAAGGGAAAAAAACTGCATCACCCAACTCTGAGGATGAAGTTTGAGACTTTTCACTGTACGCAACAATTACCATCTAATAAAGCACAGGGGCATGAAACGCTGCTTAGTGTTCAAGAGGCAAAACAGGAACCATCTGATAAACAAAAAAAGCTTCCGAATTAAATATAGGGGCTGCCAACCTTAGCGCTATTAATCTTGATTCAGACCGTTCCATGTATTGTTGGATCTGTCCTGAACCACCCCATCCTCTCTCACCCCAAGCCAGGAAGCCGCAACCCGGTCCCCCTGACAGATATCTTCCAGCATTGCCAAATGCCCCCGGGCAGCTCAGATCCTTCCCAATATTTCTGCACCAGCGTTATTCCTCAAGCCAAATACCCATGTATTCCAAGTATGACTTAAGTTTCTAAAGGACTTCCTCCGACTCTATGAAGGAACCAGATAAATAGGATTTCTGATTTGCTCGATCATTACAATGATACAAAAAGCATAGCATCCTTTGAACAGAATAAAGATCTTTGTGACTTCCTAACTTTACACCACTTCCAAGCCGACCTTCAAAGCCCACCCACGAAGATACTATTCCTAAAAACCTAGGAAAACGCCAAAACTCCACAACTCCCTTTCCCCCTATTTTTGAAGCACCAAACAAAGCAGAAAATCTTGAGAAAAACGTTATCAATCACCGCCATCTTTTGATCCCAAGGCCGACCCTGTCCCAACCAGCCACAGGACGGCCCATGAGCACCGCAACCCAGGAACTCGTGGGATCAGAGTCGGTTCCGAGTGACTCAGCAGGGCCCGAGGCACAGAGGCGGCAGATCCAGAGAGCGGTGGAGGGCACTCGATGGGGCCCGTTATTTCCCTTCCCTCCCGATCGCTCCCAGGGCATCCTGACCCCGAAGGGCGCGGGGGCCCGGTGCACGGAAGCCCTAGGCCACCGAGCCTCCGTGTAAGAGGTCCGTCCCTCACCTGCGCCCGGGCGGCCGAGGGACCCCGGGAGGCAGCTGCGCCCACGAGACGAGCGGCCGCAGCTCGGCTGGCACTTATCATGGCGGAGAGTCGCAGGCAAAAAAACGAGGCGGCAGAAAAAGCAGCCGAGCGGCCTTGCAGCTGCGCGACGCGGTGGTGGCGGCGCTTCTGGAAACCTCCAACCACGTGGGGTGGGGAGGGTCGGGGGCTGGTCACGAATTTCCCCAAGGCCCGCGCTCTTCCGCTGGGGCGCCGTCCGCGCCGCCTGATCAGCGGATGGCCGGACTGCGGCTCCCGGAGTCACAGTGTGTCAGTGACCTGATCCGTAGCATCATGTGTGAAAATGCTTGCCTTCTCTTTTTCAGCCGCGGTGGTTCAGACATCCGTGGGAGGAGAAAAGGAGAAGAGAGCGATGAAGGCAGCGCCGCAGACAGCCCCGGTCCTTGCCGGCAGGAAACACTCAAGGTCACAAGAGAGAAATTGCAAACCGATTACAGTCTCCTTGCGTCAGTTGCGCGAGAGGAGGAGCTTGTTGCGCCTGCGCAGCTGATACCCCACTGCGGCCTTAGCGCGCATGTGCGAAGCGAGTGGCGGAAAGCGAGGGTGGAGACTTCCAACCGCGCTCATTGGATGACGCAATGCTCGCGAGTCTGGCCGGAACGGAGCCCGGGGGCGAGCCCGGGCGCGCGCACGGTACGCGCGCGCAGGTGTTCCTCGCTTCCGCTCCTGGGGCTGGGCGCCATCTTGGGCGGGACTTTAAAGCGTAGTCGAGTGGAACAGTGTGGTTGCGCGGTCTTCTCTTTGTTCCAAATTTGAGGAAAACAAAACGCCACGAGATCTTAGACAATTCTGGGGTACGCTTTACTTACACCTTCGGGTTTCCAACCACCTGAGCAGCGTTTCGTTCACTTCAACAGAGAATCACCTTGAGCTAATTGTGGAAACCGTGACGGGGAGAACCAGGCTCGTCCCCAGGCAGTGCTGGGCCTGAGCATCGCTGGCCGCTTTGAAATTTGGTGTTTCGTTGCAAGATGTTAGTCCGCCCTGTGATTAATTCCGATTTTGAGAGAAAAAAAAAGTACTGGAGTGCGTGTCATGGGCCGGGCTTTGTTACAGGGCTCAGGGTACAGTGACAGCCAAACACGAAGCCACTGAAGGCAGTGGGGATTGGACTTTTCTTGGAGATGACGTAATTTGTCCTTGGAAGTCCTCTTAACAAAAGGAGAAAAAGTGTCCTGGCCCCTCCCTCTTTCTGCAGGAAAATCGGTGATCACCGTGTAAGGAATTGGGAAGAAAATGTCTTGAGAACTTGGGAGAAAAGAAGGTAACAGGAGAGTTTACATTCTTAGGGGTTGCCAGTAGGAGTGAGGAAACAAAGGCAGGCACCCATCCATTACAGATTTTGTAGATTTAAAAAGTTTTAAAAGCTTCCCACATCCTTTTCCTTAAATGTTATCTATTAATATACTACCCTCACTGTCTAACACTCTTTGATTCCTCTTTTTTTTAAATTTTATTCTCAGAGGCACTATTTCTTAAAGCCATCAGTTAACAGATGCATTCACCCTGGGTGTAGAGATTTATGTTCTAAAACAATAAGGTACAAAACGATATTGGAATGGCAAATACATAGGAAACATTGAAGCGAAACAAATTGAGATCATCCTGAGGGAGAGAGGATAGGTGGAAATGATTGGAATACTACCGTCCTCACTTCATGCTTATCTCAGTTATGCTTTCTTCAGTCTTTGCTTTGCTTTGTCTTGCTTGGTATACTGAAAAGCCACAAAGTTTTCATCAAAGGAATCCGGGAGTCAAATGGTGTTAGCTGGAGGGTGTCTGAGGAGTTAGCTGGAGGGGGCCTGAGCCCGGAGTCGGCAGGCACGTATTGGATTGATTTCCCAGTGGTTTCCCCAGGCAGCTGGCAGATATTCTCCGTGACCACAAGGGGGATGTGTTAGCGTTGGATAGTCAAGGCACGGGCCTAGGAATGGATGCTTCATAATCCTTGCCAGTGTGAAGGACAGGCTTCTGGATTGCTTTGCAGATGAACAGAGTAGAAGGCTGAAGAAATGAGCCTCAGTCTAAGGAAAAACGGGTTTCAAAGGAGCAAGACTGGACTGTTAGGTCCACAACAAAGTTATGTAATGTGTCACCAGGCAACGTACTGTGCTTCTTTGTTGCCATCTCATTGTTAACACTGGCTGGTAAATAATTTGCATGTGGATAAATGTTTACTGGCTGGTGGCTGACCACTACCCGTGGAGATTATATTTTAAAACGTCCGGCTAAACAAGCAGGATTGTTTTAGCACACTTGACAACAGGTAGGCACTGTTAAGTATTTAACATATAGCCACTATAGAATTGTCTAATTCCAGTATCAGGAGTTGTCATTGCAGTACAAGTCTGGTAGTTGTTGCATGTTTAGCTAAGTGCCATCTACTACCCTAAATGCTTTCTGCACATTGTCGAATGGCGGGCTGACAACGGTGGTCTCTAGCAGATAATGTTGGTATTGATTTTGCAGGTGCAGGAGCTAAAGCTTTGAGTGGTTCAGTATGTTACATGGGGCCACATAGCAGTTGGACGGTAGAGCCAGAACAGGAAGTCAGGCTGCTTGATTCTAGACCCTGCAGCAGTAACCACTGGCCTCTGCCACTTTGTAACCAAATTGGGTTGCCTTTGCCTTTGTTTGTGTGGAAGGTGAGTTTTATAATACCAGTCTCATCTAGTATTAGCACCAACTATTTTAAGCAGTAGAATTAAAAAAGTTGGAAATGCTTAAACATTTTAAAATGTAGCTTTGGTTCTAAGGATAACCATGAAAGTGCAATCTGTAATCTAGTTCGCAAGGTCAGGTTGATATTTTAAAAGCAAAGTCTTTTTAAAGTGGTGACTCAGAAAATGTTTTTTCTGTCTCCCCAAAGATGACTATCAAGCTGTGGCAGCTTCCGTCTTCGGAAAATAAAACTGTGGCCTACTGCAGGGCTTTGTCACTGTTGTTCTCCTTGGACTCTTTCATGTGCCTGGAGCAGGTTTCAGGAGACAGGTTCCTCTTCTCTTCTGGCATTAGCTGTACTGTTTTGGCACACATTACAAAGTGTCATGCCACTTAAACCTGGTTCAACAGAGAGGTGTAGGAAGTGTGTCTGTCAGGTAATGCCTCTGTCCCCAGGAGTGGAGAACATTAACAGGTTTCTTCCTGTGCCTGGTGGCGGGTAATCTACCCCCACTGCCCTCTTTTTGATAGGAGGAGGAAAGAGAACCAGAGGACCACCCTGACAGAGAAAGAAGTAATAAATCAAAGTAAGATGTCCCTTTGACTAGCTAGGACATTTACATTCCAGTGATTATGCAGTCTCATTGCACAAGGTAAAAAAACAGTCAGTGAACGTCAGTGGATTTTCATTGAGCTTTTGGAAAACATGTGGCTATTGGTAACGTCAAGCACTTGTGCAGGACGTTCCTAAATGGGAAGGGGAGAGGAATGACAGCAGCAGAGATTCTCTCTCTAGGAAGATCCACTTAAAATTTAGTTCTTGGAGACAAGAATTTGGCACAGTGCTAGACACCACCTGGAATTCCCGTGATTCAGACTGCCTGGGTTTAAGCCCTGGTGCCACTTTCTGTATCAGTTTTCTGCTACTCCACATCCAGAGAGGCAGGAGGTGATGCCTCTGGCACTTGGCCCTGCCACCTGGGCTAGAGATCTGCACTGAGTTCTGGACTCCTAGCTTCAGCTTGGCTTAGTGCCTGCTGTTGCAGGCATTTGGGCAGTGAACCAGCAGGTAAGAGATTGCTCTCTATCCCTGTCTCTGTCTCTCTGCCTCTCAAATAAAATGGAAAATAAGCAAAAATTAAAAATACATTCTTGGGCCTGGTGCGATAGTGTAGTGGTTAAAGTCCTCACCTTGAACGCACCGGGATTCCATATATGTAAGTAGGAATGGACATTAACTGCCCTCTTGGATTCCATATTGGATTGCCAAGTTGGCGTTCCTGGTTTGAGCGCTGGTTCTTTCATTACTCTCGTAGCTTCATGCTGAGGTTGACCTTGAGAGGTAGCAAATCATAACTGAAGTATGGCAGATTGTGTGTATTTGCATATACACTCATGTGTGTGTATGTGTGTACCATGACCTGAAGCAAGCTGGTTTACTCTGGATTCCTGTAGCAGTTTGTCAGGTGAAAGGAGGATCTGGGAGCCTGCTAATTGCTGAGGGTCTCTGGATGTCTGCTTAATAGAGACCTGGCAAGGTGTGTAGTCTAGCTTAAGGGGCAATGGATGAGGCCACGCTGCCCATGCTCTGCAGATTTTGCCAGAAGGAAGCCTGCACTGTACTGCATTGTTTGTGTGTGTGTGTATAGTACTGACCCACTTCTGTCTTGTTCTGTTGTATCATGGCTGCTGTCCTGAACTGGGGCAATCACTCTTGGGATGATAGCCACAGAATGCAGTCACCCTTGAGAACAGCAGTGATGTGTGACTGGTCAGGTGTCCACAGGAAGCTGAAGAAGTAGTCACTGAGGGCCTAGCATGTTAGCCTAGTGGCTAAAGTCCTCACCTTGCATGCACTGAGATCCCATATAGGCGCCAGTTCTAATACTGGCAGCCCGGCTTCCCATCCAGCTCCCTGCTTGTGGCCTGGGAAAGCAGTCCAGGACGGCCCAAAACGTCGGGACTCTGCACCTGTGAGCGAGACCTGGAGGAAGCTCCTGGCTTCAGATTGGCTCAGCTCAGGCCATTGCAGTCACTAAGGTAGTGAATCAATGGACGAAAGAACTTCCTCTCTGTCTCATCTCCCTCTTTCTCTCCTCCTCTCTGTATATCTGCCTTTCCAATAAAAAATAAATACATCTTAAAAAAAAAAGTAGTCCCTGAGTCCCTGAACCCCAATACATCCCCTCCCTGAGGTCCATTTGCTTCTGTTCTGCACTCAGTTGTCTTCCTGGTTGCCAAGGAGGCTTCATTCCTCTTGGTGCATGACAATTTGTTCTTGTGTTCTAAGGTACCATTTTGTGAGTGAAAAATCATTGCCAAGATTTAGGGCAACCACATTGGAATCAGCAAAGCATTAACGGAGCATGCGTGGCCATGATGCAAATTCCTCACTCATTTCTAGAATCAACTGAACAAAAAGGAACAATCCCCCTGGAAGGCACACTTAGTTATTAAATG